GGGTTAGGAAGGTGTTCGATCTCCGCGCGGACGTCGAGATCAGCAAGTACAATACTCCGAATGCGGCGATCGAGGGTGTCGAGTTCGTGAGAGTGTCTATTTTGGATGACGCGTTTGATCCGGTGGGGATTGCGGAGAGGTGTGTGCAACCTTTGCCGCCTACTGTGGTGTTCTGAGGTGGCTGAAGTGGAGCATATCGACTGCGTGTAGACTGAAGACCTTTGCAACAAGCGAATCTGAAGTGAGCACGATCGCAAAACTCGTCCAGCCACGCCTCATATCGGTCGTCCTCTGGGGTCACCGCAGGTCACACTCATTGGCACCATCCAACCGGACTGGCTCGACGACGACGAGCAGCAACCTACTGGGTTATCACGACTGCCAGTCTCGTTTTCTGCTTCTGGATCTCCTGCACGCCGACGGAGGCGGCCGTCTATGTCGTTCGTCAAGCGGTGGAGATGGCCATGGGACAAGTGCGACTGGCATTGGACGAGCTAATACACTAGGTCATGGAAGAGAGTGCGAGCTATTGCACCCAGGTCGCCGTGGACGAGGACCGGGTCCTGCCTGGTGGCTGTAGAGGCCCTTGGATCATTTTGACGTTCATGACGAAGGTGCCCACTTGCGGCTCCGAATCGGAGATCTGATCATCAACATACATCGGCGCAGGATGGTGCACACAAAACCCGGGCTGGCGCTCACTCAGCTCTCGCGCCAATCATATAATACGAACGCGTTAAACATTGAAGCAGAGCTTTCCTCAACCAACTCACTTTCCATCAAGGGACAAATCACCCCATACTGCAAGACATAAGCACACACATTGTAGTACGGATATCCAAAACCGATGCTCAAGCCGCCCGCGAAGATGAAGTCTGTCGAGTGCGTTCCCCGCGAAATGCGCAGCGCCGAGCCAAACGGTCCGCCCGCATATGTGCACCCGACGCGGGAGCTCCCACCCAGTACAAACATGGCATCATGTCTCCCGTGAGAGCCAAGTTCCATCGCGTCAAGTATGTGCCGATTCCTAGCTCAGTCGCTCGCCGTCGTTGACAGGTTCGCATAGCCTCGGTGACCGGATCCGAGCTCCAATCGCCAACTTCGACGAAATCTGGTCGTTTGCATTTCTCGAGAATCGCCCATACCACACCATCCCAGATACGAGCAGACTCTCACCGAGCAGTGCAACGCCCAGGAACAAACCGTCCAGCAGAGCAAGCAGCCGCGACACAAGCTCACGACAGGCGAGCCCTACTACGCGTCATGCAGGGGATCCCCGTGCATCCAGCCCGAGAGCGGCCAGTCGTAGTAGTGCAGAATCGAGGCAAGCGAGCCCTGTACACATGCTTCCGAGCACTGCTGCTCCCAATGTCGCTAGCGAGCCCGTTTCCCCCGGTCCCAGCAAGTTGCTCCGAGCGTAATGGCATACAACAATGCAGGTGCCAACATCCCGGGGCCTCACCGCAAAAGGACCGTTGCCCTCTCCACCAGGGTACCTCCACGTATGTTGAGGCCGGGCCACGTTCTTTGTGTACGTTGCGTCCATTCAGCTGACTTGATGTATACTTGCTCGTGGTGTACCTGTTCAGGAAGCGGACAACACTACGTGATTAACCGAGAGATTGAAGAGATGCGCGATGCCGTCGAGTACGAGAAGAGCGTTCAGATGAGCTGGGTAGACTGCTTCTCATTCGAGCGCAAGCAGCCGTACCGGACGTGCCTCGTCGCGACGCTGAGATGTTCCAGCCGCTTACGGGCGCCAACTACTTCTTCTACGTCAGTGCCTGATATTTGCTGGTGCTACGACGCGCTGGCGGTAATCATCCTCGGTGGTGTCAGTTTCGGTTGCATATTCGACGGTCTGTACGTCATGGAGAGGTTCGGCCGGCGCGGACCGCTCATTATCGGCGGTATCTGGTAGTTGTGCTGGCTTTTCGTGTTTGCTGCTGCCGTTACGGCGAAGGATCCTACGACTAATGAATCCATTGGCAAGCTGAAGATCATTTCTGCGTGCCTGTTTATCCTCGGCATCGCGATGACGTGCCATCCGTATATGGATTATGGTCGGCGAGACATTTCCAACGCGAAACGTTGTGACAGCGAGCAACTCGGTGTGGAACTTCCTGATCGCGTTCTTCACGCCATTTATCGTGGACTCGATCTCATACCGATACCATTTCGTCTTCTCAGCATGCAATCTCGTGGGCGCGGTGATCGTCTATCTGTTTCTACACGAGTCGTCTGATTTGTCACTCGAGAATGTTGGTGCGTTGTCTCCTTCGCTGCTGTACGTGGGCTGTTCGGCGATGCTGACTAGGGTGTCCATCATAGATGTACGGCGACCCGTCCTGCAAACCGTGGACGTCTCACAATTGGACGTCGCCGGACTTCAGCTCACGTAAGGACCTCATCGAGCAGATGCCTGCAGCGGAATTGCGTAAGCCACTCGCAGAGGCCCACGACGAGCGTATCACGTAAGTGGTTCAACCTTGAATCCGCAAAGCTCAGCAGACAGAGCATTTGCCACGGCATATTCATACGACGCTCTCATAGTTCATTTTGCTCTGTCCCCATCACCTCAAAGGGATCGCATCGGGTCATACTCAAGCTTTTTGATAGCTGGTAGTACTTCGGAACGGTTGACATGGCGAGAGTCTCTCTCATCGCGAATCACAGCAGACAGCAACGATCTAACTGGGATGTTGGTGATGTTGAACAGTGTCTAAAACAGATAGGTTGCGCCTTGCCACGCCATCGATTCACGCACTGAGTTTCGTCTCGCTTGAGTTCCACCGCTAACGGTGCGTAATTTCGCAGGATGTCTTCTCGTGCTCATCATCTATTTGCGACAGGGTATCATCTCTTCTTTACCTACCGGGTGTGGAAAATGAGTGGCCAATTGTGGTTGACAGTCATCACTGCAACCCTCGCGATTGCCTCTATGCGTGCGTATTCCAGCAGCTGTTCACAAATACTGGGGTTTCTAACAACGTCTGTCTGATGCCAAGTTTTCTCACTAGCTTGCGTAATTGCTCTTCGCTAGCCTGACCATGGCCACTATACCGAGTTGCAGGGACCGGCGGTGAAAGTGCCTGCCGTGATCTGGCTTGCGACTGGTCTCGCAACCGATTTCCTTATCTCGTTGCTTGCTTGTCTGGCATTTGGTGTGTATAGTTCGGAGAGGTTCTTTAGTATGCGCATCACGTGCTGTGACAGAAACATAAGTGAAGTGGGTTTCACTCGACCGACTTGCTGGTCAATCGCATGATTCGCGGTAAGCATGATCTATGATAGTGGCCATTCAGACTGGCTTGCTCACAATAAGCTGGGCCCTTGCCGATCACATACCGTACCTAGCATCTGTAAGAAAATTCTTTGACTGCAATGTACAGAGCGGCTTATCTCGAGACGAATCACTACAGAACACAGACACGTGCGTCCGTTGTCATCACAACTTTCAATTCCTACTCGTCTCAATGTCTGAGCTATCACCCACCTCTTCTTCAACTTCTCTCTCTCGAAAAATTGTATACGATTCCTGGTTCAACATGTCCCGCCTGAACGCTCGAGATTCCTGGGAGCCTCCCCACGTAGAGGACACAGACTTCTCGTGGAACGTAGAGGCCGGCTACCCTGACACATTGATGTCCATGGTAAGTCACCTTTGCTCCATAATGTACAACAGCCCCGCTGAGCTAATATTTGCTGGTCGCTAACGAAATACGGATGACGGGAAGCGCAGACATGGAGTTGCATCATGACCTCCAAAGAGAAGGAGCGGTAAAACGCATCGATGGTATTGCATCTGAAACGAGCTTTCTGATCGATGGAAGAGCTAGAATGAACTCGGATGTTTGAGGCGGGCATCTCATGGAAGTCGAGACTATAACTACATTGTCACTGCAGCTGCAGTGAAGTAGCAGTATAACACCGGATTTTCGAGTAGTCGGTAGACGCATTCCGTTCTATTGTCATCGTTCATCTGTGATCACTATCGCATGCCTTTTTGATCATAAATACCATCCATCCACTTTCATAAAGTTGTTCTCACAGCTCGGAGGACTCTGACATCATGAGCACACGGCAGTCTCCGACGCGGTATATCTTGAAGTGCCTCAAACGAAGGCGAGGGGACACCATAGTGCGCGCGCCCTTCGATTGAGCTTCGACGTGTCTACTACCAATGCTGCCGATTCCTTTTGATGAAGATCGGCTCCTGGCCGAGCTTCAGAATCTCTTCATGTCGAACACTCGTGCAACTTCTACAGCCGAGAATGCTGCCCAACACCTGCGCTTACCTTCGTCCCGAATTCGGTCGCTCTTGATGGAAGTTTGCGAACGCAGCTTGGAGCCCTTCCAAACAGAATCGATGGCCACCTTACTGGATGAAATCATGCCGGACCACGATAAGACACACAATGCAAGTCACGTCCTGCAATGCCTCTTGTCGAAATGGAAAAATGGCTGTGCGGAGAATACCGCGATACTCACTGAGACGTATTGCGCGGAGCTTGGAAGCGGCAGTGCAACAGAGGGGACTTTCGTGCAGGTTCTCGATTCAGGTAAGCTGCACAGTTCATGAACGAGTTAATACTTAAAATTTGAATAGATGCTCAGCACACCATACAGAGAAGGCTGCATGGCATGGACGCCGCAATATCGAACCTGGATTCTACCGTCTATGATATTGAGCTGCGCGCAAGCGAAGAGAAAGATCGAACAAAGAACGATTATCAAGCCATGTATCAACGCTTGAATGGCTTCAGCTCTAACCTCGTACGTACTCTGTTTCGAATTCTCATCGATTTACAAGTCAGCATGTCCGACCAGGATCTGCAACGCTTTGATCTTGATACGCTCCTGTCATCATCAGATATACTGGACGAACGAGTCCTGAAGCTGGAGAACACTTTGAATTCGATACTGACCGTATTCGAGAGTTTATGCGGTGCGTTGTCCTTCACGGCGCCGTAGACGGAGCATTCATGACATTTCAGATGAGACGTCAATGGAGAGACTACAGCGGCTCATACACAAGGCCAGAACACAACTGAACGCCTGCTTCGACTTCCAGCAAGAATCCGTCGACTTGGACAGGCCAATAGTAGATGGAGCGACAGTGGACGACGTAGCTGAACTCACTGATCTGATAGAGCAATACATTACCATAGGACGCAATCTGGAGTCGCTTGCGAGAAAAAAAATTGGCATCCAGTCAGTAGGTGCTCGTGTATGGCACCTTGAGTTCGCTTGTAATGATGAACTGATATGCCTGCGGAGAAGGCCTTTCCACTAGAGTCTGGTGATTGCGAGCTGCAAGACGTGCCTCAAGTGCAGACACAAAATGATGATGTCACCCTTGAAGGCCTGGGTTTGCGCTCTTTCCAGTCGAGCATTTGCCATGAGTTGGTACGCCATCCGTCATTTTTGATATAATGTAATCAATACTTGTTCATATCAACGGTATTAACGATATGCAGGAGGAACCCTGGCACAAGAGCTCCACTCGTGTTCAGTATTCTCAGGAGAGTGCATCATCTGGAACTTGTTCTGTGACACTGTCGTCGGCAAGAGGTTTCTGGGATGTGTTGGTAGGTCATCGTCTGGACATACTTCAGGTCAAATTACGGAGGTAGCCCATGACAGGCAACTTTACTACCCATTGCGGAGAGCCTCTGCACATTGGTTGCCAGATTCGATCTCGATCATCTTTTCGGGAGTCGGTGAGCGACTTACAGTGCGACTGTTCTTGCTTTGTTAATCCAAACAAACAGATTGTTGGCGAGCCTCCCAAGAGTACCCGCTTGCATTTGCATTTATGGGATTGATATACCACCTTTACGGCACATCGTGATGGGAGCACTGGCCTTCGCAACTATGATGTATGTTCTGAATACCGTGACAACCTTACTCAGTAGCAGATCCGCTGCAATCTGTGAAGGGTTTAGACTCTCCTAAAATAGTATACTTCCATGCTTCACAGAGTAACGACTGATCCATCATTCTATACATACGTACACCTCAATTGAGACCCCCAGTTGAGTGCGAGCGGGTTTACGTCATTGAACTTACCTTTATTGCCATCTAAACAGATGGATGTCTCCTTTGGCATGTATGCCGCGGTGCACAGATGGAAAGAATGCGTTGCATTCTGATTGGCAACCCTCAAGCCGACCGGACTTACTTCTGATTTGGGCGTGGCGTGGAAAACGAATGGGTGGCGTAATTAAGTACGCATTTATGTAGTCGGATACGCTTCCCAGTACAAAGTCATTCAACTGTGTAGATTTCCAAAAGCCTTCCGCCATCCAGCAGTGCACTTTACTACTTATAATCCAAGGACGAGACGTGATTGCGATTACGCAAGACAGCCTGCAACACTGGCAGAAAAAGAAAACCGCGACCTTATCCATTTTTATCTGCAATCCATTGCCATCGCTTTACCGGAAACGCAAGCCCTCGTCTTGAGCCCAACTTATTAGCGGTTTTCGCCCTTGGGTACTGCATGAACGTGCTGTGCCATTCCTGCATCGGCGGCACGTCTTTCGGCCAGGATACTACGTAAGCTAATGTTCGCTGGACAAATTACCGCCCTCATTTGATGTGCACCGCACTCATTGCATACTAGGTTATCGAATAACGTGAAGCGACCATCTATCCGCATCCCCATCTCCAGTATCAAGAGCTATGCAGCCTGAACATCGCGCATATAGATCTTTTCGAGCATTTCTGTGTCAGTGCTCGCGATGCGTATGCTCACAAACTTTCAATCCATTAACCAATGTGTCCGTAAGAGGAAGGTACCTTGGTAAAAAGGAACGAGACGAGCATCGCAGGATAGAAGCCCGAGACCGAAATCGTTCTATCGCGTCTTCGTCGATACCGCTCTCTGTCCCTGAACCGCCACCGTTTTCGATCCCCGAACCGCTACCATGCGATTCGATGCTCTATACCTCCGAACGGCATCGCGAGAATCCTCCACAGGAAAACAGTATTACCGGCCAGCGTGCAGTCGGCTTTTGCCATCATGCATCCCACCCAACCGACGATATACCTATGCAAATGGACGTTGACGAAGAGCATCCGTCACCAGTGTTGATGAACGTCGACTCGTCATTATCACCAGATTCGGCCTTACTAAAATATCTCACCGACACCAAAGCAACGCTAGAGAGCAGGCACGCTCAATTCGCGGATCATGGACCACTTGTATTCGTTGTCCCGCCTACAGCAAACTGTATGCCGTTGGTTCTGCAGCCGCCACCCGAGCAGCCGCGAGAGATTAACCAAGGTCGCTTTGCTATCACCTATAGCAATCTGTCTAATTCTCCTCTGCTGGAGCACGAGGAATGGCTTCTATCCACGTATCTTCAAATTGAACTGTACAAGAATCATCCGATATTCCACATCAAAGAATGTTCAACGATACTCCTGGAGGACTTGACAGCAGCATTGCTGGAGGTGGAGAATTGGAAGACGCTCGAGTGGGAGAACCAGAGAATCATCGCAGTCCAGTCAAGCGAGCTTAGGAGTCCGCCGGACATATATTCGAGGAAGAACATGATTGCTACAGGTGTGCGCCACATGTTCCGGCTCCTAGTGGTTCGTGACTGAAATGAATGCTGGCTGATGAATAGAAAAGTATCTCAAGCCAGCATTCTCGCAATCTCATCCAATCCTTGTTGTCTGCTATCTCCTGGTTGCCGTGCTACACCTCCTTTGCCACATCTCAATTCAACACTGTGTCTTCGTGCTTCGCAGTATCCGCTTGATTCTGGAGCTCTCACTCACCGATCAGCAGCCGTTGACTCCGGAAGGAAGGGAGATTGCATCCAACATACCTTCTGATGTTCGCACTCTGCTGCGAAATATGGATGTCCTTCCGGTGACAAGATCATTTGTATGTTGCAAAGCTTGCTTCGCTCTATATCCTCTCGAATCCGCAACTGGTTATCCGGACTACTGCTCTGCACAGTCAACTGCCGAGAGTCTTCCATGCAATGCTCCGTTGCGTATCAAACGCAAGCTCAGAGGAGTTGTGACAGCATTCCCTGTTCGTCGGTATATTTATCAAGATTTCAAGCATTGGCTCGGACGATTACTATGCCGCCCAGGCTTCGAGTCGATCCTCGATCGAGACATTCTGGATTCCGATGAGGGTGGTAAACGGGAGTGCGGGGACATTGTCGACACAGAGACCATCCAATCATTGCAAGGGCCGGATGGTCGAAATTTCCTCAAGGCAGGCATTGATGAGGGCCGATATGTTTTCGGTCTCTGTATGGATGGCTTCCAACCACATGGGCGAGGTGGTCCACCTTGTTCGGTTGGCGCCATATACCTTGCTTGCATGAATCTCCCTCCCAACCTTCGGTATAAAGCTGACAATTTGTTCCTTGCTGGCATCATTCCCGGTCCCACCCATCCATCAATGGAGGAGATAAATCCAATGCTTGCTCCTCTGGTGGATGATTTCCTCGATTTGTGGCATCATGGAGTCTATTACACTGCCACGCCTTGCCATCCATCTGGAAAATTATGCAAATCTGCCATCATTCCTTTAATCTGTGACATATTGGCTGCTCGCCAAGCAGCTGGTTTTGCTGGACATGGTCATCGATATTTTTGCTCTTTCTGCCTTCTGAATCTCAGCAATATTGAGGACCTCAATTGGCAAGAATGGCCCATGCGTTCATGCGATGAACACCGTTCACATGCTCAACGATGGCGAGATGCACGCAGCATAGAAGAGCGCCAACAAATCTATGATGAAGCTGGTGTGCGGTGGTCGGAACTCCTCCGTCTTCCCTACTGGAATCCCATAAAGTACACTGCACTTGATCCGATGCACGCGTTATTCTTAAACGCTTTCGGCACTCACATCGAGAAGATTTGGGGTGTGAATATGGGCGTCGAGGGCGATCTCCAAGGAATCACTTTTGAAACATCCAAGAGGCCACTCACATCAAACGAGATGCAAGGTGCATATGTGATCTTGCGAACCGGGTCCAACACATCTCTTGAAAAACTGAGAGTGGACGTGCTCCGCTGCTTATGCAAGGAGCAGAACCTCCGCTTTTCCGGGAAGAAGAATCTTCTCTTGGACCGTTTACAAACATTAGTGCGTAGTCTTCATTCAAAATATTCCTCAATTCCTGCCTCTGATGGTATCTTCACATTTTCACAACAGCGCTTGGAACGCGGCTGGGTCAGTGAAATAGGAAGCTGGCGTATGCACGATTCGATGCACGTTCTTAGTGCCGAAGTGCAAGAACAAGTCACCGACGCAATGAAAGCACTCGAAAGGAAGGCTATGTCTGCGCTCCTGAGGTTCAAGCGTAACATTCTGCGGCACCTTTGTGTGCATGTCTTTGGAGGCAAATTCAGCGATTACGAGGGCTTGTCGAAGAGGGAAATCGTGGAGAGGCTCAATAAATATGTGAGTTTCCTTTGATTTTACCTTCTTCAGCTAACATCTTATCGAACATCCAGCGACTATCCCACCACATAGTTGATGTTTGCGGAGAGCTACCTCATCATGGAGAGGACCCAAACCACAGTGCTGCTCCAAACACCGAGGAATTAAGTAGAGGAATGGAGAAGTTCCACGAGGGATCGAAGACAGACTTGCTGAGGCTACCTATAACTGTGTTGGTGGAGATTTGTAGACAGGTAATCAACGATGTTGGCGCTTTATCATTGGACAGCCTTAACAAGACACAGCTCGTACAGCTGTTACTTCGATATGTGAGCACCGTTTTGGAGGTATCACTCTACATAATTGATCGTGGATACGTGTGACTAGCGTCAAGATAACGGCCTCGGTAAAGCAGCTGTGCACAAAGCATCTCACCTTACTGGACCTGCTAACACCTCTCTTGCAACTGGATCGGCTCCTAACACTGGATTGGCTCCTAACACTCAGCCATTGGTTGGCACCAGTAGTCAGCACGTTATTACGCAGGAGGAGTTGGCCAAAGCGGAAGACGTACTAGAGCGAGGAAGCAAGACCAACCTCAGTGCCTTGTCAACTGCCGCACTGCATGCATTGTGCAGGACGTATCTCAACAGAACTGACTACAAAGACATGAATCGAGCTACCAGCCTTTCGTTATTGCATCAGTTTGTAGGTTCGTGCATCATATCGACGGTCTCTTAGCTGACGAAAATTATAGCGTGTTGACCGTGGGATCACAAACGAAGGCGGAAAACTATTAGCTGATCAAAGAAGAGCCTCAACGAAGAGCAGGGTCCTCGGTAGACGCATCTTGGAACGTATTTGGTCGGACATGGACGAGATTATTCTACCATCATGGGTCAGCAGAGTGCCGCGACGTACCGGATCTTCCGTAAACGCGACTGGTCTTGGGCTTGGTGCAGATGAATGGCGCACTTTCTGCTCCATTCATCTTACAACGACCTTGATTTACTTATGGGGCATCTCACCAGAGCATTCACGAGAATACAATCTTCTCGCAAATTTCATGGACCTGGTGACAGCGGTCAAGCTGGCCACGAGGAGAATTATCACAGCGGAAATTCGCGAGAGCTGTCGAAGCTATATGCATCACTATTTGACTACACTTCTCGAGCTCTTCCCTGGAGCGACAATCCGGCCCAACCAACATATGCTCCTCCATTTACCGGATATACTGCAGACCCTGGGACCCGCACCATCAATCTGGTGCTTTGGTTTTGAGAGAGCGAACTATATTTTGCAACAGACACCCACAAACAATAGAATGGGTGAGTACATTATTATCTATGGGAGACGATCTCTAACCTAGCAAACAATGCAGACGACTTGTCATCGACTCTTCTAACGCGTTTTTGCTGTAAACAGGCATTGCGGAATCTATTCACTTCTGTTGTACTGCCTCCGTCAGTCCGCCAACTGATACCTAATTTCGTGCATTCATTTCAGTCCGATACACGAGGCACTCTTCTCACCGATATCCTAGCACTGGGACCGCCAGAGTCACAACCCGAGAACCCATCCTTCGATGGACATGCACGCTTGCGAATGTCTGAATACTCGCTCCTGCCAGATTACATCGTCGACTTGCTACGCAATCGAATGATGATGGACTACTCGCTGGCTGGCATTGAAAGCTGGACCGGCTCTATCAACCCATACGTAGTCTCGCTCGACAGCGTGGAGTATCGTGGCGTTCTGTATAAAGTGTCCACCTGTTCCCTTGGAGATAGCAATGTCATTTTCACCAGCCAATTACGAGGACAATGGAGGGCAGGACAGGTCGCGCACATGTTCCGCTATAAGCAAATACACGGAGAGTGCAAATTCGTCCAGGACTACCTCGTTGTAAAGGAATTCGTCCCTTTGACGTCAGAGGACTCGCGCTTGGATCCGTATCGGAGATTCCCAGTTGCAGGCGGAAGACTTTTCCGCGATGCATTCAAGCCCGAGATACAACTTCTCACAACGAAGGATTTGCTGTGTCATTTCGCGATGCTGCCGCGGCTCCTACCGAAGGGTTCGGTGAAATGCATCCATGTTCTCCCTCTAGACAAAGTGAGTATTCTCATTATCATTACTTATTATCCTGTAGGTATCCTGACGAGCTAGCGGTGATAGTGGTAGTGCTCATCCATGTCTACCAGCCATGAAAAGCGACCGATCATCCGAGTAGATGATCATGGGCTCAGCTAGCAGACATACTCCAACGCGTACCTTGAGAGCTCCTTGAGATTTGTAATTCAAGTATCGTCGCCTTGCGAGCCGCAACGTTGCTTGCAAGCTTGGACTTGGAATCGTGTTTCTCGCACCGCGTGTAATGATAGTGCTAGGTCAAGGAGTCGCCATCGTGCTACGAATAGATAACTGACGTGCTGCAAATGAGAATGGTCACCTTATCTTGTGCATTGTGACCTGAGCGTTGAGAGGACTGATGAAATGGTCTGATGAAATGGTGTATTCGCTCGGATTTCTCTTCCTGCGACACAGTGAGCAGCTCAGCATCACAGCAGAGAAATACTACATACTTGCACATTTTTCAGTCATGAACCTCTCATAGGGATAACTGTGGTCACGCAGCTATGGACCGCCGAAAAATTAACAATTCTCATTCGTGAACTAGAAGCATTTGCTGAACCCGACCAGTAATTTGGTTGCATCAGGTCGACTCTGCCGAGAACGGACGAGGACGACCAGTTCCTTGTTAGCATAGGGAATAGGCGGTCTCAGCTCGTTCGCCGACTATCAACACGCCAATCGTGTTACGTGTACATCGTGTCCATTAATGTCCGGACTACCTGCAGGAGGATCCACAACGTGACGCGCTTGTCAATTGTGCATATTCCAAGCTTATGGTACAGACCTGACGCAAGGTATGTGCCGAGCACCATTCCCGCGCTCCCGACGAGCCATCACTCAATGTACCCGCCGAACACGAAACACATGCCGGGGCACCTGGTGCCAGCGGCGCGCCCACAATTTGTGCAGTGACATCGCGCGCCACGGAGAATGCTAGATCGGCGTCCATGAGAAGAGGGAGTGGTTGAAGAGTCCGACGAAGGCGAGCATGAGCAACAGGTCGAAGCGTCAATGCCGCGGAAGTGCAGTGTTCCGCAGAGAATGTGTATGCCGGTGGAGACAATGTAGCGGAATGGGGAGGGATACGGAGAGTATAAGCTACGCTTGGTGGTTTTGAGGAAGGGGCCACGTTCATGTGGGCGTGCCTGTATTGGGGGGTGGGAATTAGACGCCTAGCCCGAAGTCCTAGCCAACGCTGCGCATGGTGAAGGAGGTTTTTAGAGCATCTCGTGCACCTTGTGGGTGGAAAAAAGGACCTACTTTTCCCTTGCTTGCAGTGCTTAGATAATCCGAACACTTCTGGCTGCCTCTCCTCCCCAAATTACCTTGCGACAGCAAGGTCTCTCCCGGGTCACAATGGTGATAGTATTTTACGGTTGTTTATCTCCTTTCCTTTTTTGGAAACTTGTTCACTCCCTCCCCTCCCCTTCTGCTCCGTTTTGCTTTCCGTGTTGTTCTTGACTTGTGTATGTCAATAACTCGTCGACTGAAAATTCTTGATTTTCTTCTGCTTTCTATGCATATTTTTTCTTCATTTCGCGTCTACTTTTCGTTCACATGTATCGATAGTATCGCTTAAATACAAATACTACAATCCGTTGGTTGTCTCCGTATGCCCTCGCACTTTCGTCCACCGCGCTGCTGTTTCGTGATCCATTTTCTGCAGTCTTTCATCTTCCATCAACAGTTGTTCATCGTGAGGTTCATAGAACATTCGTTCATCGAAATCTCTCAGGATTCGTATTGTGTCGCGACCATGGCTGCGTGAGAGAGCAACGTAGAGGTTGAACAGGCTGAGCTTTCCGGTCGGAGGCTTTGCCATGTCGATAAGAACGTATTCGATTGTTTGTCCTTGAGAGCGATAGTCGGTGAATGCGTACGCGGCCGTTATTGGATACTGTCATCTGTGCATCGTGACTTTGACAGTTTGATTCTCAGGTCCTACACCCGCAACATTCAGAGACCATGTCTGTTCTGAAAATTCAATTGGTATTTTGTGCTCTTCCAGTCCTTCCAGCGTTGAAATCTTCGTCCTATCGAGCTTGACTATGATATATGCCGGTAAGTGTTGCAGTCTCACTGTACGCTCCTCTCCGTGGTCTGGCTCGTCTGGATGCAGTACGATTCTGGAAATGATCCCTCGAGCTCCGTTCACAATATCCAAGTCCGTCGTGATATTCAAAGTCACCATCACTTTCATGCCGACGGCTAATTTTATCTCGCGAGGGAGTTGTCGTTTTTGATATCACGTGGGTCGATGTTCGGCTCTCACCAATGCTATTTTTTCGCGCGCATTCAAAGGTCTTCCTTCTACGTCGTCTTCAGCCATACAAATGTACCTCTTCTGACCACTCTCTTTGCAATGACGTTCCAATGCCGCTTCGTTCCATGCTTCTCGTACGCCGTGCCGTGGAGTTACTAGTATTGCCGAGTTCCATGGAGGTGAATTAAGTTGAGATTGTGGCCGGTTCGGATTATCGATAAGAAGATCTTTTAGCATGCATACGTCATCTTCCTTCACGTTGCCAACCCGTAAGTGTTGCAGGAAATTTAACCATACGCTGTCGTTGATACGAACTTGTTCTTTCAGCGTCACCGTCGTATGAAACTGTTCATATAAGAGGCGTCCTGCTCGACTGTCTTCTGATTCATTTCTTGTGGTTTTCACTGGATAGTAAAGAGCCGAGGTAATTGGCTGTGACACCGGTGCGAATTGATGGAAGTCTCCACACAATATAACGTTAACGCCTCCAAAAGGTTCATCTCCATGTTCTGTGCCAGCTCTTGCCGATTTGATGTTACGTTCAATCCTGGTGAGCATCTCTTTGAAAATCATC